GGAAAGGGGTACATCTGTAATACTTTCAACAATAAAGATGAATTAAAAAAAATTTTCCCATGCAATTTATGTTTTATGTGTGTGTGTGTTTTGATTTTTTTGTGTGAGTTTTCTTTTAGCATTTAAAAAATGGTGCTCTGTTGATGTCTATCTTATTTATGTTTAGATGTCACCTCTAAATCATGTTCTTACTTATTTGGCCTCTTTCTTCTCCAATATATTTTACATTAATTTTAGGTTCTTTTCAGCCACTGGGGATCGAGCCTGAAACCCAGGCATGTGCCCTGACCGAGAATCAACCTCCTGGTTCATAGGTCGACACTCAACCACTGAGCCGCACCGGCCAGACTGAAACTGTAAATCTTATGGTATGTACATATTACCACACTTACAAGTAAACTTTTAAAGCAAGAGAGTGAAAACACATCTCACAGAAGAATTTTGCAAAATTATGTGACAAGAAACTTGTATCAAAATATCTAAAGAGTTATTATAACTTAATTATAGGAAGTGAAACAACTGAATTTTAAAATGTCAAAGGATTAAATATACCTTTTTCCAAGAAAGATAGACAAATGGTCAAGAGCACTTGAAAAAATGTTGGACATCACTAGCCATCCACAAAATGCTAAAGTGGTGACTAAAGTGAAATAAAGTCATCAATCAAAACAACACTAGGATGGCTGGGATCAAAAAGTAAGACGATAACAAATGTTGTCAAGGACACGTGGAGGTATTTGAACCCTTACACTCGGGTGGTCAATATAAAATGGCGCAGCCACTACGGAAAACCATCTGGGAGTTTCTTGAAAATTAAACCTAGAATTACCGTATGATTCATCAATTCCTATCACAGGCATATGCCCAAGAAAAATGCAAACACATGTACATAAAGTTTATAGCAACATTATTCACAGTAGCCAAAAAGTAGAAACAAACAAATGCCAATTAATGGGTGAATAGATAAATAACAAGTATTTTATCCATTCAATGGAATAGTATTTGGCCATAAAAATAAATGAAGTATTGGTACATGCTACAACATGGATGACTTTGAAAAAATTATGCTCTATCAATGAAGTCAATCACAAAGGCCATAGATAATAAGATTCCTTTCACATAAAAGCCCGGATAGGGAAATCTGCAGAGACAGAAAGTAAATTAGGGGTTGCCCAGGGCTGGTGATGGGAGAAGATTGGATGTTTGGGAGTTAGAGTTAAAGGGGAGAGGGTTTTTCTTTCTTTTTTCAGTTGATGAAAATGTTAAAAAATGGACTGTAGCGATGATTGCACATATATGTATATACCCTGCAAACTATTGAATTGTACACTTTGAATTGTACACTTTAGGTGCAGTGAATAGTATGTGGATTACATCACAATGAAAGTTGTTTATATAAGTAAATAGTGCATTAAGAGTTTTCAATCCAATCTCTCAGGCACATTAGTAACACATCCATTATCTCAATTACAGTTTTGTGTGTTAGGTGAGACCACTTAATTCACTGTTTTTAGCAAATTTCAAGTATATGGTACAAGGTACATATATCAAACCATGTTGTAATCCTTAAATATAAAAAATTTTATTAGTCACTTACACCACAATAAAGCTGATGGGGGGAGAAATTTCCAGGTGCATTCTCTCTCTCTCTCTCTATATATATATATACACACACACACTACGGGACAGGTGAGTGGCAGCTGCAGGTATTATGCTAACCTGAGCTGTCCGAGTCTCTCCAGGTTGCTCTCACACGCAGTTGGACAGCTTATGGCTACAACCAGCCACAGCTCTTGGCAACATGCTGCGCGTTGTTTTTCTTATGTTACTAATGTCAACTGACAGTCTTTGGTGCCAATTCAATGCCAACAGGAATCCCCAATTTGGGGTGCAGCGAAGAACGAAACTTTATTCAGTGCAAACAGTTCAATTGTGATACAGCAAAGCTGTGAAAACAGCATGACTGTTACTTGGCCCTGGGCCCAGGCCCCTGTAGCCAGACAGTTCTGTTCTGCGCCTGTCACCTTCCCTGCTTTCACCTCCAGCAACAGAAAGAGTTTTCAGTCTTCGGGGGGGAAAGGGAAAGGGTGCTCTCCGCTTAAGGGGAGCTGACTGTTTATATAAACAGAAGTTCCTACCCCTGGTCCCTGATTGGCCTGTCCTCATGCAAATGAAGGCTCCAAATCGTAGCAGTACTCTAAGTCTTCAGTTTGATTGGCCCAAAAGGCCCTGTCCTGATTGGTCAGAATGGAGCCACTCTGATTGGTCAGTGAAGTTCTGAGGGGATTTAGCTGCACAGCTCCAATTGGATGGGGAAAGCTCAGCCCTATTGGTTGCAATAAGATTCCTGGAGCTGCTCCCCAAGAGCTGGCTGGAGGGCAGAAGGTGCAGCAGGTCGCTCCGTGCAGGCCAGTCCCTGAGGTGCAGTTTGCTGACAAGCCCCGGGGTAGAAATGGCTGCTAGGCTTTTTTTGGTGGTGGTTGTTAATTTGAACTCATTTAAGCCACCAGGAGTCCTTCTTGGTAGAGACCTTCTTTCTCTAGGTCTACACTAAAAATACGAATCAATTATCTTAGGGATATTATAGTCATTTGCATTTCAGTGCTCTCTAGGGAGTCAGGCAAAAACTGATCTACATTCAACACCTTGCTGCCCGAAGGAGCCGCCGCACAGGCGAGCCCTGGCTTCAGGTAGCCTCTCAGCAAGGTGTTAAGATCAGAATATTTGGGACATTTTCCTAAATGCCAGCTTACTTTTTCTTTCCCAATTTTGGTGACACTGGGTCGCACTGTCAACCAAATGCTCTAACAGAGCTAAGAAAGGAAGGTCATTGCAAGTTTTTTAGCTTTTTTCCTGTGAGTTTGGGAATGACAGCCTCTAAGTTACTTCAATGCCAGAGCAGAACCCCCGTAGCTCCTGCTCCAGTTCCCGAGGGCTGCTGCCAGCTTTGCAGCCTCATTCCCGCTGCTTTGCCCGCCCGCGGCTGTCCAAGGCGATACGGAGGCCTTCGCGTGCCCTCCTGTGGCGGGGAATTGACACCTCACCAGCTCCTGCCCTGTGTGTGAGCTCTCACACCCGCTCACCCTGGAGCCTCCTGAGACATGCCCATGCGCCATCTCCACGCATCTCTCAAGGCTCTTTAATGGCCCCCTGAGAGGCCCGCCTCACTCTAGCCAGACAGCTCAGTTGTGACCGTAACAAACCCTTTCACACCCTACAGGCTGTGTGTGCTGTTCACCAGCTGAGGGATTCCATGGTCAAGGGTTGCGCTCTCATGTTCCTTTACTCCCCCTGGAGCTTGGAAATGACAGAAGGGAGGGCAGCGTCTAGAGAGGATCGGAGAATGGACGCTGTGTGTTCTTTTGGAGGAAATCACTGCTGCAACCTTTACATGTTTTGTAATCAGGAGCAGGCTCATTATTGTGGGTGTCAGTGGATTCCCTAGCAGCCTGAAGCTCTGAGCCTGTTCCTCAGTGTCAGCAGCACCCAGGACAGACTGTAGTGACCCTGCTGGAAGAGCTCTCCTGGCACATTACTTTCTGCTTGGCCTGTGGGTGCCCAGAAGCAGCCCTGAGGCACATTAGCATGGGGTCTGGTAGAATAAGTTGCTGTGCCTTCTTCTTTTTCTCTGAGCTCTAAGTTCCATTTTGATTGTGGATTTTTACATAAACTTGGCTTTTCTCATTTACTCATTATACACTATGAGTCAATTTTCTCAGAGTTCTTTCTATGAATTTTTCTGAAGATGTAATATATTTGTAAATGCATCAGAGCAAAACAATAACTGTCTTTAAATGACAAAAATAACTTAAAATGACACGGTTATAGATCTGATTATAATGCAGTTGACAAAGGAATTTGCTTTTCTATATCGACATTTTAAAATAACAGAATTACAAATGAAAGTATATCAGAACTTTGGAGAGTCTTGGAGATCTTTATACAATTTCTAGAACACCCATTTTAATAATAAAAATATGTATACAAATGGAACATAGCTATCATTTCTTTATTTGACAAAGCCTCCCGTGTATTTTCAAGCATATCAAATAGAAGCCAAATTAGCTCAAAATTTCTTACTCACAAGGAGAAAGAACAAATCTCCAAGGCATTCCAGAGGCCCACCAGAATGATCCAAAGCCAATTCTAGGTCAAGAAAAAGTTTCTTAAAATTTAAACCCTGGGAAGGTTGTCAAACATATTTGA